AAATAGAATTTTATGAAAAAAATTTCTTGAATAGAATTTTATTATTTTGCTTTTGAATTTCCTAATCGACTAATTTATTGGCGCCAAAAAAGTTTTTGTTATATATTTAATCCATAATTTCCTATTATGTCCTATATTATTTCTAAAATTCATATAATTTTTCTACTTCTTTAAAAGAAACTATTTTAATATTTTAATTGTATGATTATCATTAAAAATAGCTATATCGAAATATTCAAATCGACATATGCTGAAGCTCATATCTCAGTCATGAATGATACACAATCATTGGCACAGCAACGTGATAGTGGATCTAATCAAAATTATGGAAATCAACAACAAGGAAATTTAGGTGGTCATAATGGAAATATGAGTAGAAGCGGTGGTGATGATGTTGTTGGATATAGTGATAACATGAATCAACACGGTGATGCATCACTAGATAATTACAATTCTTAACGCGGAAACTGTAATGTTGATAATAATTTTCCAATGAATAATCAAATGCGTAGTGGTGATAGAATAAAACGTGAGAGTTGAGAAAAGAACAAAAAAAAAGACATTTTAATGGTTCCTATTTAAATGCCATGCTTTTAATAAAACCTATATGAAAAATCGAATATTTTTTGTAAGCGATTTATTGAAAATATTTCTAACGATAGGAATACTTATATTGTAAGTTAGAAAAATCGAACATATTTGAATCAAAATAAAGCTCTAACCGTCAAACTAACAAATTTAAAATATACCATGTCTTGACTGAAATGTTTTGATTTCAAGGTATTTACAGATTAGATATTGAGAATGAGAAAACATAAGCATTATTTATATTAGTTGTTTTTCTAAAGTTTCTTCATGTTCAGTCTGTAAGTTTCCAGGAATTATTACAAAGCCATGAATCACATCAGGACAGAACAAGTTTTGATGTTTTCTAAAATTTTTGCAGTATCGAGTCAGAAAAAGATGGACTTCAATTCATGCAAATCCGTGCATCATTGGTACTTTCATTTTTATTGTGTACTCAAAAAGTGAGTACACTATAGAATCGGTCAGTGTGTCCGTCCGGCCGTTTACACGATAACTTTCGAAAGGAGAGTCAGATCGTGATGAAATTTTCTACACAGTTCAGTCTCATCAATGTCTCGGTCGAGTTCGAAAATGAGAAGGATCCGCCAATAAATGGCTGAGTTATCGAAAAAAATTGTCATTATTGACCAGACCATCCCTGAGGAGGGGTACAGGGATTTTTTCAAAAAAAAAAAATTTTCTCAGAATTATTCACAACATATATAAATCGACTCAGTTGGGTGTGGGGTGTGGGTGTGGGTGGCTGGGTGTGGGTGAGGGTGAGTGTGGGTGTGGGTGAGTGTGGGTGTGGGGTGTGGGTGGATGTGGGTGAGTGTGGGTGTGGGGTGTGGGTGGGTGTGGGTGTCGGTGTGGGTGTGGGTGTCGGTGTGGGTGTGGGCATTTGCACAACCCAGTCAGTCAACAATAGAGAAAAAACTCGTTTTTACGCGTTGAAATGTGCGCTTTTAACGTTTTGTAACGCGTTTTCCAGCAAAAAAACGACTTTTAAACGCTTGAGCAACGCATATAAACGCGTTTTTTTTCACTTAAAAGACAAAATATCGCGTTTATACATGTTAGAATGTGCGCTTTTACCGTTTTTCGAAGCGTTTTCAAGCGAAAAAAAACGTTAAAATAATGCGTTTAAACGCGTTTTTTTCCGATCTTGACTGCCTGGGAAGGGAACAACACACACTCACACCCACACCCAAGATGAACCTAGATTTTAAAAGTCTCTTATGTCATATATCGTGACTTTTTATAGGAATAGGTTCGAAGATCTTTAAATGCCGACTCTGTGAATGAATGAAATCGTTCTTAATGAAAAAAGACGGCAGAGAAACTGCCATGTAATCGAAAGATAGGTGGATTTTTTCTTCTTCTTTTTCTATCTTTATTTCAATCTACATGAAAGACGAAATTGTATTGAGGTTGATGTTTTGACTTTGTTATGATAAGAACACGTAAAAGTTTGTGTCAACTTTAGTCGACATCATCGATGCATTCTCGCATTTTTGAGTCAAGGGTGCCAACTGCAGCTTACACGAACTTTGATGTTCGCTTATCTTTATTGTTCGGCTTCGGTTCATTTCCCCATTCTAATCCATATTTCCCGTGATCTATATGAATTGATTCACACTATCATCATAATATGCTAGTTGACACGACAAATGTGCTAACCGTAATGTGGTCTGTTAACACGTGCACGACTACCGGCTCGAATTCAGCTTCAACCAATGGGTACCCAGCATTGACAACGTGCTATGATTTTCCAACAGCAAATAATACTAGCTATTGTGTATAGCTGCCATTTGTTCTTCACTTGATCCGTGCAACATTGGGAGCCAGTGTCCATCAAATACTTCAGTGTGCGTCGTGAATAGCTGTTGCTCTCCAAGATCAGTCTGCCTACCACGATCGCTACTAGATTTCTGTACCCAAGTCAATAAAATGAACAGCACATCCATTAAAACCATCAGTAAATAAGTGTTCTTGAAACCAACCATAATGGAAAATTTATGTGAAACATTTAGGCACTGCGACTACAATATCTAGCAGCTCGATGATTTTTCCAACAAAAGCACTTCCTACGACGTCAATTGCAAGTAACAGTAAGACTGAATGAATATTTATAACTTGTATGACTAGGTCACTTAGTATATCCCTTTCAAGGCGATGTGATTCTACAGAGCTTCCAAAAATGTTTTTCCAAAGATTTCAGCTCAAATCAAAGAGATATACAAGTGATTTTTATATAAAATGAAAGGCCGTTAAAATAGTGGTGTAACTAGAACAGTGGCGACTCGCTGACGGTGCCCGGGCAGTAGAAGGTGGCGCCATTCTTTTTTTGCTTCTAACCCTTTAACTAAATGTTATGAAGACCTGAACTTTTTATCATAAATCTAGCATTAGCATGTAGTACATCTGGTAAAAATTTCAGGTCCTTATAGCATTTAGTTAGAAAGTTAGAAGCTAAAAAAGAATGGCGCCACCTTCTACTGCCCGGGCACCGCCAGCGAGTCGCCACGGTTCTAGTTACGCCACTACGTTAAAAACGGGATTTAAGAGTATAACTGATAATTCATAGGGTGATAATAAGCTATAGAATCACGGACAGTTCCAAAAATGTTAGGGATGTAACTAGTGTACTTCTATGGGTAGTCATACATGAAAACAAAAAGTTCTGGGAAAATGTCTTCGTCTATCAGATTTTGTGGAGCTATCTGTGCTGATCATTTTGATAAAAAAATATTCTAAGTTTGACCAATAAATGACGATGCTATGATTAAAATACTGAAAAACGTTATGAGACCCGTATTTTCACTCCATCAAATGAGTTGAATGATAATATCACGAAAGAGAAGATAGATGGTCAGAATGCAGCTACATTTCGTTTGAGCGCATAACTTGATGATTGGGCTATTTTATATACTACTTAGAGTGTATAGAATAAAAGATGCCGCTAAGAATCATAAGAACATAAATGGTAGACTTCATTACCATCTCAATTTTTCAATTTTCATCTCAATAGATAAATAAACCTGTAGAAAGCTTCAATTTCTACACTAAAATGGTTTTCAAAAGCTAAACAACCCAAAGTGCGATCAAACCTTAGAGCTGTAATCCAGGTGAGGCTCAAGCTTTTCAAGCCTATACGTTCCGCCGCCTATGCTTAATTTTGATTATTCAGAAAAAAGAAACTAATTATAAAGACACTCAATCATTTATTGACAATTTGCTTCGTGAAATGTTATGTTTACTTGCAGTCGTGTAAGCGGAACAGAACATGAAAAAATGACGTGTGATACAGATAACATCATTCATTAGTGATGGAAAGAAAAAATGCATAGCATATATATGGGTGGCTTTTTCCCTCAATACAAATTTATAATATTTTGCAACAAACTATAAAGGTAGTGACTAATTGGCTATTTCCTATGTCGAAGAGCTATAGAACTATAAATTTGATTTCGAATGAGCTGACTTTTCAGCACTTTTCACTACACGCAATCTATTGTCAACAACCCAAAAGATAACTGTTGATAATCCATATAAGGTAAGTTTGTTTATATTGTAGTGAATAAAATAAATAGATGAGAGGAAACATAAGATTGTTTATTAATTTCATTCAATGCAGCTTGTTATTTCTCTTCTAGATTTACCTTAACACCATTCATAAAATACAACATAATCGTTACTCAATTACAAATCTTTTTCTAAACAAAAATGTTAAGTGTTGATTTACTTTATGAACAGGTAGGAATAAAAGGGAATGTGTCAACTCGTCACGTTTTTTCTTGTCTGGTTTTCGTAACGAATTGACAGTACGAAAGCCCGTGACAGAGCTTTCGTAACGACAAAATCAGGGCTTTCGTAACAAAAAATCAGGGGTTTCGTAACAAAGTTTACAGGGTGATCGTAATTGGTGTTTTAATATGTACCATTACAGAGCTTTTGTAACGAAAAGCATGTAATTTCTGCAAACTCAGTTCAGCTATCACCCCCATCCTCATTACGAAATCCCTGTTGCTTCGTTTCGAAAGCTCTGCAACTGTTACGAACTCCCTGTATTAATCGTTACGATCGTCCTGTAAATTTCGTTACGACATCCCTGTATTTTTGGATATCCCTATTTTTGGTGTTACGAAAGGTCTGGTTTTTGCTGTTTGTTCAACTCGTCACGTGACGAGTTGAGACGTTCTCGAATAAAAGTTTGTTTTATCTTAAGAAAAATTCAGTCTTGTTTTAAAATCGATGTACTTTTTGAGTTTATGAAAACAGGACATTTTCTTAAAAGGATAATCGATCTTTTTTTTTTTCTTGTTTTATAAAAAAAAATATTTCATTGTCATTTTAAATGAGTAATTTATTTTAATGATTTATAGTTCTCGCAGAATCAATCGTTATTTACTGATGCAAAAAAGCATTCAGAAATGCCACTAAAAGCACGAAAACTATTGGAAGAAATAGGTGATGAACCCATGCTGAAAATCCAACTTGGTCGTAGACCTGTAAAAGATCTTGCCATTAAAATACTTAACTTTTTAAGTTATTCAAAATTTGCTGATAAACAATATGAACTTGGTTATGATGAAATCTATCACAATTATTTGCTCATCACTGTTCAGAATAATCATGGATTCAATGTATTACAAAATATTGTTCGAAATGCACCAGAAAACACAAATGGTAAAACAGTTCTGGTACTTGAAAAATCATTCCGTATTGGTCTCAGAGACCCAGTTATACCTGATGAAATGATAGATCTATACGATATTCCGCTACCACCAAATAAATCATTAACACTGAATCAATTAATTACCACAACATTATATGCTGAAAAAGACTTCTTTGTATATGATGCTGGTGAAAATAATATGTGCCAAACGTTTGTCAAAAGTGTTCTTGAAAGCAATGGTTTGATGCCTAACATTGTTGATGAAGCAACATTAGAAGCGCTCGAACCAATCGATTCTAAAACATTGGTTGCTACACTAGACGAGCTGTCTGGTTTAGTTAAACTAACAACTGATATAGCTGCGAAATTACACAGGTTATTGTTTGATCGCAAGATTAAATTGAAGTCGAAAAAAAGGAAAGCAAAGGAATTTATTTCATTGCGCGATGCCAACATCATTAGTTCGGAGACTATCATTGCAATGTACAATGCGATGTGTCAGATCGAACACGATGGTAAGAGTAGGAAGCGTATCAAACTTTATTGCTGATATTCATTTTTTTTTGCAGTACGCTCGATTTCTCAATATTAGACGTCATTTCAATCATCCTAGAAGTACATATATCTTTAGGCAAAATATTTCTTCAGATATCAATTACCGAAGAGTCGATAAATACCTTCTTAGTAAAGTTTTTCAATGTCTTTTAAATTTGGGGTGTGGGTAGGTTGGGTGGGTGTGTGGGTGTGGGTGTCTTGTCTTCGTTCACATCCACACCCAGATCCACACCCACACCCATATCCCACACCCCACACCCCACACCCACATCCAGCACCCACACCCCACATCCACACCCACACTCACACCCACACCCACACCCACACCCACCCTCGATTCTTCTCTCCTTGTCTCACACTTACTCTCTGATCCATGCCCTGCTCTCATTAAACAAGAATCGATTATAATCAACAATTTTCTTGTATATATTTTCCTGAGACATTCTATACTTTTCTCAATTTGCTTATATCGAATATTTACTAAACTTTCATAAATGAAGAACAGTTGCTAAAAACATACTATCTACAAAGCCACCGAGGTCTTTGCAAAAGAGAGTCAACGGAAAAGATATATATTTTTTAAAGTTTTTTCGTTCTTTATGTGAATGACTCGTGAAATGCAAGCAATACTTTTTTTAGAATGAAGCTAAATCGAAAGCGATTTTGAATAATATAAACTAACGCATTGCTAAGAATAATATATCACAATGAAATACAGAAATATATACTCAAGCATCCTAAACAGGTGCATTTCGAATGCTGATATTGACATGCTTCCACGTTTTAAAAGTGAATTTTGAGTATATTCTGTTATCTTTTATTTTATATGGTGCATTTTTTTCCTTTATCTTGCGTATTTATAGATGCAAGTAAAGGGCTCCTCTATTTAACCATTGTGAAAGAACATCTTCTGCTTCATTTGCCCCTTAGAAATAACCAGAAACATTATTACAAAGAGAATGGCTACTAGCCAACAACTCAACATTGAAGTCCTTACTCCTAGTATTGGTGCGGTAATCCATAACTTGGATTTATCACAAGCAATAACTGAAGATCAAAAATATGAATTAGAAGAAGCACTCTACAAACATCACGTGCTCTTTTTTCATAATCAAAATTTAACATCTGAACAACAACGTGATTTTGCTCGTCTATTTGGTGATCCACATGTACATCCAGTTTTTTCGCATACGCCAGAGTGTCCAGAAGTAAGTGTCTTGGAATTTGGTGTAAATGTTGATCCGGATAAAAAACCAGATTCTGATATCTGGCATACTGATGTTACATGGTCAACGAATCCACCAATAATTGGTATGCTTTATGCAAAAATTATACCAAAACAAGGTGGTGGTGATACACTATGGGCAAATATGGTTGAAATTTATAAACAAGAATTATCAAATGAAATGAAAGGAATTCTTAGTAAACTCACAGCTGAACATTCATTTGCATACGCAGTTCAATCTTTGATTAAACTTGATTCTACTGCTATGGTGAAATTCATGAAAACTAAAGAAGCAAATCCACCAGCTACTCATCCGGTTATTTGTCAACATCCACATACCAAAGAAAAATATCTATATGTTAATAGAATTTTTACCACGAAGATCAATGAATTAAATGAACAAGAAAGTAATTTACTATTACAATATTTATTTTCATTGGTTAACAAAAGACCAGAATTTACATGTCGATGGAAATGGAATGAAAATGATGTTTGTTTATGGGATGAACGGTCAACACAACACTATGCAACAGCTGATTACTGGCCACAGCATCGAAGAATGCATCGATGTGTAATAATGGAAAAGAAAGATAAAGTCTAGCTTCTCTAAAAATAAAAATTGTATATAAGAATGACAGATTGATTTGAATTAATGCGTTTTTTTGATTATATGCTACTAATTGAATACTTTAAGAAAAGAACGAAGTTTTAAATTAATCTTGAAATTTTGTAAAACGAATAGCCGATATTTCACGATAATTCATTCAATTTGTACTTGTTTTGGAATAGCAGTGTGTATATTTTAAATAAAAAAAATAAACGAACTATAAATTATTTGTTTTTCAAAAAGATAGATTCGCGTCGGGCAGAAAATGAAAATTACAAGAATCAAATAAGGAAGCCAATGGTGCAAAAACAACCAATTCAGACTGAATTCATAAAGTGAGAGAAGAGAGTACAGTCAGTTATTTAGACCAGCAAACGGTCATCATTCATTCAGCGTCTCTATACACTTGATGTGATAGCATATCAACACTATTGAGATATAAAAAGAACTGTGATTCATCATCGTTCCATTCAAAGAATGATGATAAATGATTATTCGTAATACAAACCATATTTTCGAAGCGATGTTCTCTGATTATTTGTGATAATTCAGTTATTTTCTTGAGCATGAAACATGAAAACAGTTGTTTGAAATTATGTGTGGGCGTGTGGGGTGAGGGTGTAGGTGTGTGGGTGAGAGTGTGGGTGTGTGGGCGTGGGGTGAGGGTGTGTGGGTGTGTGGGCGTGGGGTGAGGGTGTGTGGGTGTGGGGTGAGAGTGTGGGTGTACGTGTATGTGTGAGTCTCCCATCGTCTCTTCGGTCCACAACCACACCCACGCCCACTCCCACACCCACACCCACACCCCACCCACACCCACACCCACACACCATACCCACCCACACCCACATCCACCCCACCCACACCCACCCCCACCCACCCCCCCACACACCCACACCCACACCCACACACACCCACACACCCACTCCCACCCCCACACCGACACCCTTTCTAGTATATTCTAATTGGTTCTTTCTCTTTCTGTTCTATGCTTATCGGCTATCAAAAAGTTCTGTCGCTTTCTAACATTTTCGAATGAATTCTTCCACCTTCTTTCGAATCTGTATATATATATATCCGTCATTTGGAAAATAGTCCATGATAAATCTTCTGATTAATATTCTGTCAGGTTTCACTTCATAAAAACTTATTTCTCTATGACGAACGTCGTTAACATATGTAAACATTTATATGAAAAGGCATTAGAAAGGTCAAGTGTTCATTCAATAAGCACCACAGAAGAAGAGATATCGATCGCAATCAATCTGCTCTATCTATTGGAGGACCTTTGCAACAGTGACAGCTTTACAATAGAAACAGAAGATTCTCTCGAAGTTTCTGATGTCGATCATTTTGACCCGGACTATCCTGTTGAAATCCAAGATGATGAAGAGCAACAAGTAGTCGAAAATCGTCAGCTCAGTTTAGAATACATGCAAAGGGTTGTCGACTTTGCTCGTCCAGGTGTCGCTTTTACAACCGTACAGCATGCTTTTCGACGAGTTACACATCCTATGCAATTAAAGCGATTTCGAGAATATGTTGCAAATAACGGAAACCGTCGGCAAAAATTGGAGCGTGTAGAGCATTTTGAACTTGATAGATTTCGCTATGCTCGTAATAACAATTTACCTGTGCACGATCTTGACGTGAAGCGATGGGCTCTATCCCAAGCAAAAATAGAAAATATAGATGACTTTAAAGCAAGTGACTATTGGCTTCTCAATTTCAAAAAACGCAACGGTATATCTTCCAGAAAAGTGACAAAATTCGTTTCTCATCGGGAAGTTGTTGATAAATCTATAATTAAACAGACTGCTGATGATTTTGTTGCTGAAGCAACCAAACATATACCAAAATATTAGCTTGATTTTGTGCTAAATGCCGATCAATCCAGTTTTAATTACGAAATAACTTCGAACCGTACACTATCTTATGCAGGAGAGAAAGCGACTTATCTATCAGTAAAATCTTTGAATGCTATAAGCCATTCCTATACAGTTATGCCGATCATTAGTGCTGCTGGTCAGTTGCTCAGTCCTGTTTTTATTTGTCTTCAGGAATCCATGGGTCGGTTTCCAATTACAAGAGCGGTCTTTTCAGCATCAAATATAGTAACTAGTTGCAGTACATCTGGGAAATTAAATAAATCCTTAGTGGAATACTGGATTAAAGAAGTTCTCGATAAAGTAGTCAGCAATCGATTCCTTCTTGTGGTCGATCAATGGTCATCGCAGGCTGACATTACTGTATATGAGAATAACCTGACAAAAGGACAGTCATGTAAATTATTAGTGATATCTAGAAGAGCAACATCAACTAAACAACCGTGTGATACTTATTTTTTCCGACAATGGAAAGTGTTAACAAAAACAATATATCATCGTGTATCTCTAGACGAATTAGATGTTGACTTAAGAAGTCGTGACGCTATAATCAAACTACAAAGTCTGGTTCATAATCAACTGAGTTCTTCTTTATTAAACCAATGATTTCATACGCATGGTCAACTTGTGGCTACATTCCTAAACAATACTCGAATTTTTCGAGCGTTATAGACGTCTGTTTTTCTTTTCATGGAGACAGTTGCTCAAATAATAATTGTGAACAGAGTGCATTTATTTGTTGTAGTCATTGTCGACGTATATTGTGTTTCGAACACTTTTTCACAGCGTATCATTTTCATTGATTGTGTTCTTGATATGTTTTCCGAATAAAACGATAAAATGATAGTCTATGCAACTCGAAATACGAAACTCATAAAGCTTAAACTTCGGAATGTAGAAAAAAGCTTTCTTATGCAACTTCGGTTGGTCAAATTCTATCATGTAAATAATATTGCCATGCACAAAAATAACCTTGAGAATATAAAGAGTACCGTTTCTTTAAATAGTTTTGGGTGTGATATGTGAGAATCAGTGGCTCAAAGTACTATAAACAGTTTTAAAAATTGCCTTTCTGTGCGAATGTTTTGCTTAAAAGTTCGATATTTCCAGTGTTATCCTGTACAATGAAACTTACTAATTTTCTCATTTGAGGTCTATGGGCAAAAACGGAACATAACACAAGCATCAGCTCGTCGAGCTCTACAAACTGGTATATATTCCATTTAAAACTGAGACTCACACTTGGAAATGTTCCCTCGTCAGCCATATCTTGAAATGCAAAAAAGTATTATATACCTTTGCAAAAAAATCCAAGACATATGGATTTTCACCTATTTTTCACTTTCGAACTTCATATATTTTAAAAGCATAGTTTTACTGAAGGATATCAGAAATACGTCCAATCGACGCAGTTTTTCATGACGAATCCGAATATATCACTTTTATAATTCCAAAGGGTTAAAAAATATTTTAAAAAATTGAAAAAAACATTAAAAATTGTATCATTTTTTGATAAAAAACGGACTATATTGAAGGCTATTGAAAAACCATGCAATTTTCCATCAAAAGCCCTTGAAAACAATATATTAAAGCACACATATTCTTACTCAGCTCGTCAAGTTCTATCCAACCATGTATAAAAAGAAGAAAAAAAGAATTTGCTGCAATTTTGCGTTTCCGGCACCTTACTTTGTAAAAGGCTTTTTGCATTGTTAAATATTACTTCCGATGGTTTTTTTCTCGTTTAATATACTTTGTTTAATTGAAAAAGAAATGTTTTCTCGGTTTTAAATAGGCATAAGTGCATGATAGAATGATATACAAGATATAAAACACTAGTATTGTGCATGTGACTTTACGTATGTGAAATTATGAATTTTTAGTTTTTATCTAAAAGAAGTGTTCAGTACCTTCTCCACAATGTTAAAATACAAAACACAATGAAAATACTTGTTGGACACATTCATTACTAGTAGTTAAGAAGGTAGTGAAGAACATCGGAATGTCTGTAAGATATTCAAGCGGCTAAGGATGCGTCAATCTCAAATAATTGGTCATGATGCATCCTTACATAGAATAGGATGATATATCTATTTTTACTCTATACTTCAATACGCATTATCAATGATGTTTCAGAAAATTCAAATTGGCACCGTCAAATTAGAAAATTGTCAAATAAATTTCTGTCGTAGCAAAATGATACGAACTAATGATTCTCGTAGTATAGTAAAACAAAAAAAAAAGTAAATTTCTTGATAGAAGTGTCACCAAGATTATACGCTGTCTCACCCTACAAGAAAGATATGAATGTGAAACGATAAAATAGCACAGCAATGTTCTATAGCCTCTCTAGGTGTATAAGAAACCGTCATAAGGCAAAAATGCCGTAATGGAAGAAAATCGAATAAACAATCGTTTTTGATGAAATTTTAACAGATGACTAAATAAGTCTTTTACATTTTTCTTTTCGATTTTTTTAAAATTGTTTTTATATATACAAAAGAAAATGAAGCTTGAGAATAAAAATAAAATGAATTTGAAAACTAGAGCTAATGAATTTAAGGACACTACAGTGGCTTTACTTATAAAAAAAAAACAACTGTTACCGTTTTGAACTTGTTGTTTTTGATTGCTCCATTTTTATTTCTCTCTGAAATAGCTTTTTAGAATAATTCAAATTTATGAACAAACTCTCACTTAGAGAGATTACTATATAAATATTATTATTTTCTTTGTTAGATTTCCATAGTGAACTTTGATGTTTTATCGAAAATTAAACTACCGAATACAGATGCAATGCATACAAACACAAGTCTTGTTATGTTTCTCTATTGACAAGTTTAATTATTTGCTCGAATATTTCAAAGGGTATTATATTTTTTTTTAATTAAAGAAATATTTTTCTCTTTTTCACATGAAATACGACACCTCTGCACTGAATATGTCCAACGATTTTTAATTAATCAATCAAAATAGGCTGACATCACCTATTTTAAACATTCATATTAATACAAAGTAACTGTTATCATCTGTGCATTCGTCGTTTTTCTTGAAAACTGTGTAGATCATCTGCACAACATAATCTAGAATAACACAATTGTATTACTAATTTATCTTTGCATTGTTTGCAAGTCACATAGCAAGTAGAACAAACATGTACATAACGTTTCAATCACGTTCTCCTTCGATAATCATCTACATCCAGTGAATGACAGTACCAACAAGGTTTTCTAAAGAATTACAAATCAATATTTTAGCTTCGACTTCATTTTGCAAAATATCCTGTACATCGATTATGTTAAATGTTCACGATCAGTCTTGAACACTTTAGTTCCTTAGAAGCGATTGTTTTTCAAGAAAAAATAAATTTTTGATTCTAGACAACTCGATTTTTCTTATGCATACTCGAAAAATAGCTTCATGAATTTTGTGAAATGCGGTATCTCTTTCATATTCAAATTTTCTTTTCAAAAATCTGCTCTTTGTTTTATAGAACCTACGATTAAAAGTGAAACTTTTCTAAACTAATTTTTGAGACCAGAACCTAAAATTTATAAGATTGCTTTTTGTCTGGAAATGCCGCAGTGTAGATCTTTTGCAATTTTGTTATATAATTCATTTGTGTAGAAATATATTAGCTATCATTGAATATCGCGTCTCGTGAAAGTTGTTCAAAACTAAACCAAGAAAAATTCTTTCCCAATCAACATTTGTGTGGGTATACATGTTGTTTGGGATACTCCTCTTGGTGCTTCTTTCAATGAAATGTTTCCGTTTCTATGTAGTTGCTACAATGATTCCTAAAATATAGAGAGACTATTTTTATTCATATTATTTTGAAATAAAACAGCTCTCTAAATATTTAATTATTCTTTAATAAATGTGATCAGTATTTGTTTGTTTTTAATCGTTTGCCTACTGAAAACGTCTCAAAAATACTGGAAAACATCTTAGTATTATTTTTTTTATACTCTCCACTCCATTCTTTTTATTCATATCAACATATCTTCTATATGAAAAACAAATTATTCGTCATCCGGTAGTTGTATGAGGCATATTAGATGAAGGAAATAATTCTAAGAAAGTATTTGATGACGTTCTTGTCAACATATTAATGAAAAAGAAATAGTATATATCTCATTCACCATATGATGTTTGCCTTTTTACTTCTTCGAGTAGATTGAATGAAATAGCAAATGAGTGAAAAGCGCAGGTATGAGAAAAAAAACTTATAGCATGACGACACTTTATTCGGAATTTCTCACTTTCGCGGAAACATGTTCAATTGTGAATCGTTAATCGAGTTTATCATTTGCTGAAATTAGAAGAATCTTCAATGGTGTCCTCACAATATAGGAAGCTTCGAAATTTGTGACAATTTTGCTTCATTTTCTATTACTCTCCGGATGTTAGCCGATAAATTGAATGAATCAATGTTGACTTTAAAGTTTATCCATAATAATATTTCACAGTCGGTAAACTGTAATGAATTTTTTAGCAAGAAACGAATGATTCCTTCTTGAAACGTCGATTACGACAAAAAAAAATATCATTTTCATAGAAAGATCCGAAAATCGAGTCTTTTTTCAATATCTCGAGAAGGGATCATTTGTTTGTACTGAAGTGTTCAAGATGATTTATTCTTTGTAAAATCTGGTTATGGACAAAGTTTTAGATTGAAATTCTTCCTTTTCACTGTTTTTTTTTGACAGCGGATCAAAAGGTCGAAAGTTCAGTACAATAGTGATCATTTAGAAAGATGACTGGATGGATGTTTCCTCTAGAAAACTCTTCTATTTTTATTGAGTTCTATACATGAATAAATTAATTTGTTGATGAGTCAAAACCCACAGTTGAGTAGAAAACTAGGTTTATTCCTTCGAAAAGAAAGCAACGGGTAACTACGTAGAATCGAACAGTCTGACAAAAGACAATGTCTTCATACAGATTGAGTCATAAATATATTTAAAATAAAAAAA